TCACCGACTATACGGTCGCCGATTGCGAGGGAAAGGCGTGTGAGACGAGTGATACGGACGTGAAATACATATCGCGAGCCATTCTGATCAGCGACGGGTCGATCAAAAGGGCCGATACGGAGCACCTGTCGCTCCTACACATACCGGCGTCGACCGATAATAAGGCGCCGGTTTTTCTCATAGAAGTCGGTTCGTCAGCACTGGTCGCACCCAAAGGCCTTTGTATGACTCGTTTTGGCATTTATTTTAGTTTTTTTGAATGATTTTTTGGTAACTCTTTGATCCCAACCCCCAAACAGATGTGCAGTACTTGTGGTGCGACTCAATGGGCGATAACGCGAAACACGATTTGATGCCAATCGTGAAGAAGTTATACAACTTTACGCCCGAAACGGACGCCCAGAAGCCGAAAGCCCTGTGGAGTGTGTACTTCAACCAGAGGTGCACTAAACCCGTTGTTCCCGATCTGCCCGCAAATGTTTACGTCACGACTCCTCCCATCAATGAACTAGACTTTGATTTCGCTATAAATGAGGTATAGTTGAGACCCGAGAGAGAGAGAGAGAGAGAGAGAGAGAGCTATGAATACATTTTATAATCTATTTTTGTGTTGAACTTAAGGCCCGAACGATATTCAAGTCGATGTACCCGAACGAGGAATTCCTACCCCGGGCTCCCGATCCCAATGAGATTATATTCGATGGCCCGCAGAATGATGTAGAGCTGAATGAGCCCAACAACCAACCCATGGCACCGGTAGTTAATAATGAGAACAATTCAAATAACACTTAACTATAATGATAACAATTGTGTTAAGATTGCCCCGAATGTACTGTCAGTTTATATATAATGTGATTATAAGTGATTGATTAGAGAATTAATGATTATATACTTTTATTGTGTATATTATGTCTGTGAATATGCTTGTATTGAATGTTTAAAATGGAAATTAATTGAATATTTTCTCAAAATAAACCTTTTAATTAGAATTATGCAAACAATTGTGAACTTATTACAGTATTTTATTTAGGTTATATTTACTAAATATCTGTAAGATTTTATCACTAATGAATCATTAATGATGATACTTTTAATTGTTATCAAATAAATTATATTATTTTCTACAACGCTGATGCCTTAAAACCAGGGGACAGACGGTGGCTACGTGCGAGGGAAAGGCATGTGAGACGAGTGATACATACGTGAATCTCGGCTAAAGGTTACGTTTGTTTAACCTTTGGATAATATAGTATAAAATTAATGATTTGATTATCATATGTATTTCCAGTTTATTTAATTTGGGACTCACCCAAAAGGCCTAAAACCTAAAAGGCCTAAACTTGAATAACTAACTTACCAATGGTCATTTAGCTTAATTTAGGTTAGGTTAGGTTAGGTTGGGTCAAGACACGTCTATTCCACTAATCTAATTAAAATTATGTCCACTGGTCAGTTAGTTATTTGAGTTTAGGCCTTTTCGGTTTTAGGCCTTTTGGGGTAGAACCATTTAATTTATATAAAATGTGTATTACAGGAGCAAATAGAAAACAGTATTAAATGCGAGTGAAAAACATGTGCAAACAAAGTTTATACTCATTAAGTAATTGTCACATTTGTGTTGTAATTACTAGGTATGAGTTTTAAGTAATTGCAAAATTTTCAACTCTATGGCGCACTTAAGACTTAATTGTTGGGATCAATCTATGCGTCCATTTGTAGGCCTGTTATCACTGATTATGAATATCATGATTTACAGTATTTGATTATCCTTAAAAATTTTATAGCACCTGGAGTACTGAAAAGTCGAAAATAATTTTTGCAAAAAATATTTTAATTTAGGTGATGAGGTAAACTGTAGGACTCCTGCCCGACACATCCATGGTAAAACTGCAGAGAATTTTTTAATTTATCAATACAGGGCTGACATATGTGTTTCGAGAAGGGGTCGTACATCATATCATTATCTAAATTCAAAAATATTTTCATTTAATTCCCATAGAACCTTTTTACAAACTACAGTACATATCTGTAAAATTTGGGAGGGCTGGCATTTGGACACCGTTTATTATATTTTCATAATTATTTTTCTAAATTGTAGAGTTATATTTTAAAATGATATATAATTTATCCAGATTATATTTGTAGAAAATTTTTTATAATCGTTTTTATAACTATCGAGAAAAGAATTGAGAAAAATGTGCTATTTTGAGAAATTATTACATAGAATATAATGATTACACACTGCAAAAATTAATTTGGATCTTTCAGTACTCCAGGTGCTATAAAATTTTTAAGGATAATCAAATACTGTAAATCATATGATATTCATAATCAGTGATAACAGGCCTACAAATGGACGCATAGATTCCTAAGCTAATGAAGAATAACAATTGCATTCATATGAAATCAAGTGAAAGAGTAATGTGTACGTGACCTGAATTCATAATGATTTTAAATCAAAAAGGATCCTTAAATTTGAGAAAACCCTATCAATATATATATCGTTGGAAAGTATATGATGAGCTGAATTCAACAAAACTTGAATGAATTTTCTAAATTGACCCATTCAAAAGTTATACTGACCACTGTCCACTCACCCCTATGGTATGGGTATTGTTGAAAAGCTTATATAAATATAAATTTAACAAAAAAGGAATCATCTAATTATCACTTACCGTTTTCGAGTTATGAATTTTTGAAGATACTAATTTTTAACGTTATAGATATAAGAAAAAATTAAAGTTCAACAATTTTTAATTTTAATTTATTTTAAAAAATCCAGTCAGATTTTGATCAAATTTGGTCATCACAAGCGCCTCACTTAATAATATTTTTGATAATTATTTCAAGACAATTTGATTGATATTTAATTTTTTAATCAATATGTGCCCACACAACTACATAAAACTAAATTAAATTAATCATGAATTATTTAAATAGACTAATAATTTTGTATTACAGTAATTGTGTAAGATAAAATTATAATATAAATAATATAACATCATAACTATTTACTTAAATCACCATTGTCACTTATATCATCATCGCTATTGACAAGACTGTTTTCATCACTCTGTACTCTATGTGCCATTGCCATATTGCTTGATGCTTTCTCACCATTATCTCGATTATCATAATATCCATTAACATTGGCCTCTGAGCTATTTTTGTTAGCTGCTAAATCATGACTATCATAGTTGTCAATGTTTATATTCGATGGTACATTAAATGCTACTAGGTCAGGATAAATTATTTCGATAACCTTGATCACATTTTCGTATTGTTCCAATTTGACCTCCAACTTTTTACGTTTCTCTTGGTTATTATCCACGCCAATAATCTGGTCTATTGTTTTATGTTTTAGAATTTCGGGCACTAATTGTCGAGAGATATAATTCGTCGTGCGATGAATGAGTTCGAGGGAACATATCTTAGGAATTCGATCCCTAAATGTATCATGATAAAATTTTTAATATAAAAATCATTTTATTACACATGTAAATTGCCATGTGTAAATATAAATATATTAGGTCGTATAGAAATGTTGGTCCCGGCTATAATTTAAATATCTCTGGAATGGTTTAATATTTTCAAAAGCGGTTTGTTTTATTGAATAGCCTAATAATGTGATGATTTTGGGCACAAAAAATAATTTTTTAATTCTAACGCTTTCTATGTAATTTCGGGACCATCT